ACATCTATAGGTATTATTGTAGCTTTGAAAGTTCAAAAGTACGAATCTAGATATTACAGAAAGAGAAGTCCTGCTTACGTACCTATAAATGTGCATTTACTTCAAAAGACTACAACAGACTAGTCATCCTCTAGACAAATCTTATTAATTTGAATTAAAGATTTTTTTGTTGCTTTTATTACTGTTTCTTTATAAGCAATGTATGGCTTAAAACAGGATCCCCCATAGGTCCTACATTTTTCTAAGCAATTTAAAACTTTTCTTAAACACTTCATCTGGAAATCTGGATAAATGGGTAATAGGAATATCGAAATACTGTCTAGATCACGAAGCACCATCTAAAGATTACAAGCCGTGAAGTTTAATCGCGTTTCGGATTCAGTCTGTGGATCTCTGAATAACCCAAGCAAAAACCGGTGGTCAGCTCGTCTCGTTTAGATGTTATTTGGCTGGACCTACCATCAAGCGAACCCCACGCTTGAAAAAAACCACGGCTCTGCAGTTAAGTTCTCAAGAAGCACTGCTTTAACAGTTGTATGATATAAAAATATTTATCATGACTCGAAAAACATATACGAATCTACACAGCAGAATCTGAAAAAAAATAAGCGGTAAATAAAATGATAGTATATTTGATTGTATGAATTTCTTAGACAACTATATCTAGATCGTTAGATAATTAACGGTAGTTTTAAACAAACACATTCATTATGTTGTTTATCTGTTCAGTTTAACAATGTTTGAATAAACGAAACCAGTAAATGACCAAATTCTATAATGTCCTACTATTATCTCAGATTTAAGATCATTACGAGTATCTTTGTATGAAAAGCTTTACAAAACTTAAATTGTATTGACATTAACGTATGCTCTAATAAAACAATTATGTATATAAATTGGAGAAACGGATTATTTATTATTTTTGGTTTAAAAATAACGAGTATAACGCCTTGACTATGGGGTATTTAGAATGGTTGTTATTTATCAAGGTTACGAATTTACACGAAAGAAGATTACACCCTTAAAAAACGAATGACGATCCACCGTTTACAACAGTAGTAGTAGTAAATGGAATTGTCATTTAAATAAAACATTTTAACGGTTTAAAACTCGATATATATAAGCTAAACTTATTTGAAAACTATTTTAAACTTCGGCCCGACGTTTCGGATTTTTAAATAAGTGAAACTAATATATATCGCGTTATAAACCGTTAAAGTGTTTTATTTAAATGTGTACTACTCGCGTAAACTACAGACGGTATTTAAATGCTATAGTCATGACACATATGTTGTTACAGCTGGAAGAAGGGATCAGTAAGTACTAGGGTTTTCTTACTTGATTTTCTCCTCTGTTCTTCAATTCTTTCTGCGTTCCTGCTAAGAAAGGTGCAACTTTATATGGTAATTAAACTTTTAAGACAATAGATCTGTTTCAGAAGGTGAACGGAGCTATACTGAAGTGGATATCGTCTGCGGTTCAGCAATGTAGGTCTTGTGAACACAGCCTTCGATTACAGGGCTGTATTCGATATTAACTTAAAAGACTTGAAACCAGATTTTTTAAATTTAGGTATAAGAATCCTTTAGGAATCATAATTAATTTAGAATTCGTCTTTATAGTATTACACATTTAGAAAAAGTTCTTAAAATTATTTAGGCGTAACAAGTTACACACAAACGACTAACTTACAATTTTTATACACCAACCGCGATTGCTTAGTCGGTATATATTTGTCTGTTTTAATATACATTTCATCAAGTTAATATTAAAACAGATTAACAAATTACCACCTCTGCTAAAGATGTGTATATGTGGTTCAAAACCGTGCATCGAATTCCGAAAACGATGATTAAATATTTCCCATCTAATACTTTAAAAGTGTAGGTACGTATTGATATAAAAGGATCGAGTACAATACTAATATAGTGCGTATCCTTCTACTCTGCGCGTAATAAAGCAGATGCTCCTATGAAGAGAATCTTACTGACACAGATGTGTGTTGTAAAACCATCAGCCCTGCGGTCTCCTGACCTGATTGAATCTACTACCTTTAACCGGGATTCAAACGAAATATCTCTTCTAAATCCTGGTAATGAGTTTCACAGACGTTATGTTGGGGCTATTCTTTAAACAATTTGAGTAAGTACAGCCCTGAGAGTATGTGGTTTTCTGTGTATTCAAGTGTCTTCTATATTTGTTCTAATTCCTGCGTAAGTGTAACTCATAGGTACCCGCTCATTTTTCTCATATCCTCGTTGATTTTAAAGAAAACTTTATGCGTATGGTACACAGTTTTAGTTTACAGATATAAGGGCTAAAATTAGCGTACACATAATGTGATACAGTAAAATCCCGTTTCCCCTCGTGAACCACGGGACGAACACATATCTGTGCCCGTTTAACTGATTGGTACTTTTACTGGAAAGTATGTATCAGAATTCTTAGTGCGACCGATTAACAAATTATTGTTTAAATAAAACACTTTAACGGTTTAAAACGCGATATATTTGTTAAACTTATTTGAAAATGTTTTAACTTCGCCCGACGTTTGATTTTGAGGCCGTGGTCACGGGGAGACACGGGAGACGGTCTCTACACTAATAACTACTTTTTAAACCGTTAAATTTTTATTAAATGTGTACTACTGACTAAAATATTTAAAATTTTTTTAGGGATTCGCATCTTGCACCTCTCGCGCTTCACCATAGTTTAACATTTACTAAGAGGCGGTGAAATGTGACACTTAGGTATACTACTTTTGTAGGCGAAAGGTTCAACCTATTACATATTGAATTAAATGATATAGATTAGCTTTTATCTTGAAGATCTGAAAAGTACCGTATTGGCTTGTAAGAATAACTATACGTATATAATATTACTAGATGACCTGTCAAAAGTTCTCTTGTCCTTCGACTTAATTTAATTACCATACAAACGGTTCTTGTGATCTTAAAAGACGGAGGTACTGTTGTGAACATTTTTTTGATTATTTAAAGAAGAATAATTATTTTATACCTACATATTTTTTCGATATTTTGAACGTTTTTGCAGCGCAAGGAATGGAATCCCTCAAAGGTAATTAAACTTCCCCCCTATATTTTATATTTCCCACTGTTTCTTAGACCCTAGCGGTCGCAGCCTGATGTTTTAAAGCCTTCCTTTATAAATGGTCCAACCAACACAAGAATGTAAACATTACATTACTAATAAGTATAATGTTAATTAATCGCTTAGCAGTTACATTTCAAATAGTAACTAAGGTATTTCTGCGTACTTATTTAGTTCTTATTCTATTTGTAGTAATTTCCTATGTTAAGAACAATGTATATGGGACTTCATTTACGCCTGCAATATCCTAAGACTATTATTTCCCGGTTAGGCGCATAGGACACTAAGACAAGTATTTTTGAGATTTACAGAGAAAGAGGCAGGTAGGTGAACGCGATAAGAAGAAATAACCCACTCATATAACATCTAGATTAAGAGGAATTCGAAATTGATTTTTGATACATATTGGTATGGAAGAATTCAAAATAAGATATTGGACTCGCGAGTTATGTTTTACAGATAACAGCGTCGCGCCCTAAAAACACAGCAGCTCAACAAACAACATAATAATTTTGAACGTTTCAAATAATAATCGATTAAATCTAAATGCAGGCGACAGTTACCCAGTTGTTCAAACATTCGCTCATTATTACATGACCTCAATTTCATCAAGGCACCTTTTTTTTAATCGTCTCATATATCGCCTCAGTAGGCAGACAATTTAACATTTGTAAATTCCTATTTAAAATATAATTTAATTATCTCCTTTGTTATACAAATGATTGTACTGTACTTTAAACTTTTGTTGAATTTATGATTTACAATTCCCACCGGTTCCAATTCAATTTATATTTCTTCTGAAATATGTTAGATTTTTTTTGGATCCTGGATATTAAATGCGGTGGTGGGAAAATATAGATTAGTCTAAGTCACAAACCACTGTGTTATTGTTGCTTCACACCAATGTGTTATTTCACATTCCATCAAATATCTCTCCTTCTCTATCAAATAAAAAAAACTATATCGACTTATCTTGGCCTTACACTGTTACACAAGAAATATAAATCTCTCAGCATTAGTTCAAAATAATTTAGCAATCCTTACTACGTAAAATTTCATTGAAAATATGTAATATATATTTCTGCAATAGAATTATTTATCCCACCCATTTGCTATATGAATATAGATGTCATAACTTCTAAAATTTCGCGGTTTTTCACCACAATCTACCTTCATCATTAACTGCATTTTGATATTGTATTTAATACGATTTGCTTATTTAATCATTTGTGTAATTACTAAACACACTACATACTACTTTACACTACTGAAATCTGCAGAAAAAAATTTTAAAATACGACTTCTTGTTTTTAATGTTTTTCCAAATCCCAATATAAACCTTTAAATGTGTGTGAATTTATTAAATTAACTACGCAATCGAGGAGTTAACATTTCCTGATGATGCAGTCCCCGCGTGATGGCGAAACGTCGAGAATCTCTTCTTGCTCACGTTGGCCGAACAACCTTAAAGACAATGATATGCTGAACGATGCCCTTGAAAGCTTTACACAATTTATTTTTTAATTTTATTTGATAATCTTTTGTCGAACATATTTTGTATTTGAATAAAGTAATTTGTGCTTTAATACTTTATAATTGCCAACTAATCTGCTGGATACTAAGACGATATTTTAGTGTGCAATTAAAGGGCGTTTTAAACAGGCAAGCGTTTTAATATTTTTACTAAACCATGGTTTACAAGACTCTGGCAACCTCAAAGTTACAGTGTAACAATACAAATATAAATGTACGCCACTATCCGTGAATTACCAGTACCAAATGTCAGAATACCAAAACAGACTGACGTTAACAGCTGTCAAAACTTTAGTTCCCTTATGCAAGTGGGGAAACTTTATCGTCTCCTACTTTCGCGTAAATGAAATCACAAAATGTATATTTACGAATTGCCATTTGATATAAATAAGGAGCTTTGTAGGCTTTTAGACAATGATGATGACTGGAAAGAGCTAGGCGGTATCCACATGAAGTATTCCGCTTTTGAAGTGAACGTAAGTATATCACAAACTACTTGCGTTTTTATTAGGGTTTTCCCAAGTGAGATATTTTGATTTCTATTCCTTAGGAGTTGGAATTTCCAAATAACAAAGTTCGACGGACATTTCGTGCTTTGAGGTCCGTGCCAAGTTTCCTTATCCATTTAACATATTGTTTAGATACTATTCCTTAAGACAAAATACTTACTTTATTAAAATTATGGTATATTCACTTTTAACGTTAGGCCAACTGTTAAGGGAAAACTAAAGCAACAAGTTAGTAAATTAGATACATTTTTTTATATGTTTATTATATTTATAGGAAATAGAACAGTTTGCAAAGCGACAAGCATCATCACCAACAAACCAATTATTCACAAGATGGGGCCAGTTAAATCACAGAGTAGAAGAGCTATTTATATTGCTGTACAGAATGAAACATATCCCAGCGTTGAGGTGCCTAGTCCCTGTAGTTGATGGTAGATTTCACAGATTACTACATAAACATGATAGCAAGAGTATTAGAGACAGAAGCACATTAGACAGTAAGTTTTCATTTCAAAGTATTTATTTTACCTAATTTCTATAGTTTTCAATGATAAGGGGACAATTTTTATATATTTTTTCAATTATCATATATTAATGGAAATATTTATTAATACATCTAAGGACAGGTTGGACAATAGGATAAAAGAGAGTGAAAATAAAAAAAATAATACAATATTTATTTCTGAACAGTTTTGGTGTAAAGTTGAAGTAATATCTTTTTAAGGTAAAAAGTTGTGCCCTTTATTCTATACTAGAAACACTTTTTTTAAACTGTTTCAAGTATTTTTGTATTCCATAGAAAAGTTGGTGATTAGTTTTATGTTTCTTCCAAATCAACAATTTTACATTTTTCTGGAATCAAGCAGACCTAGACCTTGTTTGACCCAATTCTATTGTGAATCAGATTGGTAATTTACCTACACTTGTGTTAACTAAAGTCTTATTGATTGGAGCAGAACTAAGCACAGGTGGAAAAAACAAAATCACTCAATCATACTTGCTAATAAGAAAAAAACAATAAATAATGTTTCATTCATTGAGTATGAACGATACCAGTGGTAATTATTCTTGTATGATATTTAAAAATGTTTAATAGTTTACGTTTTAAATTGTTATTTATTATAATTGTTTATTTTTCATATTTTCCTGTTGTACATCATACCTATTCTATTCTATAGTGAAATTCCTCATTTATGTCTGAATAATTAGTAATTGTATACTTGATTCTTGGTATTGAATATTTTAGTCATGTCTGATTCAGCAAATATTTTGCAGTAGCTTGAAGGAAAGATATTAATTTTAAACTTACGTATAAAGCCGCTGTTTGTCCTTCTTCTTTAGTTTATTTTTATTGTTTAGTTCAGTTTTGCCTAATGGCGCTCAATGGTTAAATGCGTTAAACATGAGAGGTCCTGGGTTCCAAAACCTGAGAAAAAAAGAAACAAAATTGACTAGTAAATTTTCTTTTATTTATAATTGAGTTTCAGAATAAGATTTAGAAAGCAAGACGGTCATAGATATTGTTTTATTCCAGTGAATGCAAACAGACAGATGACGCAGAAAATAGATGGCAGCGACTCGTCTTTACCCCTTCCGGTTATGCTGATAGAAAAGGTATTCTATAATGTTAATATCATTTGATTTGAATTTGTATTTTGTAACCATACTATGACTTTACACAGCAGGGGCAGTTACGCTCGCCGAGTCGTATCTTCGACGTGCATTCACCACACCATGCAACCACCGAGTCAAATACAGTGTCTACTAAGGTACTTCTTTTACAAGTTCATATTTTTATATCTACAGTTGACAAAGTCACATCCGTGGTTAGTAACACGAGATTTGTTGAAGCAACTGTACGGAACTTTATGTTTGCCGGTTCAAGTCATGCTCGTATCGTGATATTTCCAGATATAATCCATTTTTAAAGTATTTAGAATATATTTTTGTCCACAATTACAGAATAGTTCCACAGCACAAAGCCAAGGCGGTATTTTGGGTGATGAGTTCCTCAAAAATGTGTCGGCAATACCTATGTTGAGTTACGAAGATTTGAAAGCAGCCACGAATAACTGGAATGAAGCGAACTTGCTTGGAAGAGGTGGATTTGGACAAGTTTTCAAAGGTATTAATACATAGTTAAGGTTTTCCTTTTATTATATTTAGGTGAATAATGGGTAATGAATCGTTGGTATAACGTACAATGGAGTCATCAAGACTGGACTTTGAACAAAAACATCATATAACATACGTAAAACCCATCAATATTCTATATTATTACAGCTTAATAACTTCTAAGTATTTCTGCATTGGGTATTGTATGTTAACGCGAGTTGAAGACGTTAAATAAAGCAGTTAACGACATTAGAGTCAAGAAATCAAACTCGCTATCATAGTGTTACTATACCTACTTAGCATCAAAAACGTTTTATAGTTAGTAGTTATGTAGTTAAATAGTTTGGAATATTTTAAATAAACCTATATATATACTTCGCGTTTTGAACCAATCTTTGTTATGAAAATTTTAAAGAATATTTAATTCTTCCCTAGGTGAATGGAAGCTTCTTCCCGTTGCTGTAAAACGACTGAAAGACAACGATGACAACAACAGAGAGCTGATAAGGGAGATGTGTCTGAATCACTACCGACATGACAATATTCTGCCACTCTACGGGTACAGCTTGGGAGGTAATTAATAATTCGGGTCCCCTTTTTTCACAATATACCCCCGTTAGGAGGCAATTTAGACGGCGATACTAAATACTGTCTGTATTTAATGCTAGTAGAACATATCAACAAAACACTTTAACGGTTTAAAACGCACATTCGGTGTCCTCGGCTGCTGCATCCGAAAAGTCGGGGTTAAAATATTTTTTAAATATGTTTAACTAATATATTGCACATTTTAAACCGTTTGTGTTTTAATTGAAATATAACATAGTTAAAAACCGTTAGTGTTTTATTAAAATACTAAATAATGTTTTTTTAATTTATTAATTTTTAACTGTTTTATGCCAGACAAATACTATTACTAAAATATATTACTCGTAGTAGCTGTATCTAGCTATCTATAATAAGTTATACAATATGGAACCATTTCTAGGTCCTGAAGCATGCCTAGTGTATCAGTTGATGGCGGGAGGCTCTTTGGAGCAGAGATTAAGGGGAAAGACACAACATAGGCCCCTTACTTGGGGACAACGCTACAGAATAGCACATGGTGTTGCTAGGTAATAATGTACTGGTTTGTTTATTCGTTTTTCTGGGACTCCGTCCCTCTGTACGAATTTTATCATTTGAATAAGATAAAAGTTATGACTATATATAATGTATAAACAACAACAACAAAATGTATAAAAATGTTTAGCAGATTAAATAACAGATTTGTTTAGCTCATTGGTAGCTATGTCAAATCGATCACCGCCGGCACAAAATTTTTCTAAACAGTTTTTTTTTTAAAGCATGTTGGACTTTGTCTTGATATTAAATGAGTGGGAATATCGAAATTCCGTCCTGGTTACGAACTACCGTCTATAGATGCCGAGAAGTTTAATCGCGTGTCGGTTTCAGGCCGGAATTTTTGAATATCTAAAGCCAAAATAGGTCGGAAGTGTATCTTGTTTAGGTATTATTTTATCTACCATCAAAACCTCATGCTTGGAAGACAAGCATGAGGAGGCATTCATCGAAATAAAATGAAGAAAACTCCCACGATTTTAATATGTGGTCATGGTGCACTGGTGATGGAACGCATTCAAAACATAGTAAAATCGATCAAAAGATTTTCTTTAATATAAAAGAGATCTTTGTAGACTGATTCATTTATTTTTTTGTGATTCGACTTAAAAGACCTACCACAAATAATTATAATGATAATTGTTTCTTCTATTCAGGGGTTTGCAATATCTACACACAATGGCCGACACTCCCATGATTCACGGTGATATAAAGCCAGCAAATATTTTACTGGATCAATGCTCCATGCCAAAGATAGGAGACTTTGGCCTAGCGAGGAAAGGGCCGTACGGGGAGGATCGGACGCATCTTAAAGTCTCTAGGTACTGAATACGGAATTTTCGTAATCGTTTTGAAAATAACATTCTTGATACTCACAGCTATTATAATAACATTTCTGTTAAATTAGTGCCTTCACATTTCTTTTTTGTCTACGTATTTATTTAAGGTGAACCTGGATTGGTGTAAGAGAATAATGTAATCCTTTAAAAAAATATTGTGATCGGGTTTCGTTAGTAATCAATACCAATGATTAATTCGTTACACCCATGTAAGTGCTACTGTAATTAGTTTTATTTGATTTTGAAATTTTCTTCTACACCATGTTAGATCAACTAAAATGCTAAACGAAAACACAATAGCTTCCTAATTAACTTAAGATAACATTCGTAATTTATACATAGCAAAGGTGTTTAACTAAGTTTTTAAACATTTAAATAAAACACTTTACCGGTTTAAAACCCGTAATATATTAGCTTATTTTAAGCACGGCCCTGCTTCATCACGGGACCATGGCATCTGCAAAGCATCCGAACCATTAAAAATGTTGAACTACGTTTAAAAAGATAATTGTGTAAATTACAGAGTACATGGTACTCGGCCCTATTTGCCGGACGAGTACCTTCGTTCGCGGGTTCTTTCACCGGCTGTTGACATCTTCAGCTATGGCGTAGTAATGCTGGAGGTGGCCACAGCGTTGCCTGTACTAGATCGGACGAGGAAGATGTTACTTTTGAGTGACTTTATGCATCAGCAGGCGAGGGAAAATGTTGATCTTGGTATTTAAATTCTATTTAGATTGTAAAAAGCGCTACGTGCTGTTCTAACCACTATCACATGCAATAATATACAGTTTTAAAATTCTCTTTGTTAGTTGGTTAAAGTAAAGTAGTTTTTTACGCCATATTTAATATTATTAAGCAGTAGCTTGTTTGAACGCCCTAATCTCAGTAACTACTGGTTCAAACAAACTGAGTCAGCAAATACCAAAAAATATGTATGAAAGAAAGATTCCTTTTTTAATTATCTAAAAAAATGTCAACGACCCTATGTCTATTATTTTTTTAATTTAACTTGCAAGAACGACGAGACGCGACCGACCTCGTAGGTCGAAAGTTGGAAAAAGCGGACGAAGTCGCTGGCACAGCTAGTGATGAATCAAAATATTATATATATATATATATATATATTTTTCCATTTCAGCTACCTTGGAAGATCGCGTCCTACGAGGCACAGCCAACTCAAATGGACCTTTATGTCGTACCTTCATAGACATCGGATTGCATTGTACCAAGTTGGTTCGCCATGAACGTCCTACAATGCTCGACGTATATAAACGCCTTGACGCTATAGAATTTCCAGACAAGCATTACGCATAGTTTAAAACACGTTTCAAACTTGCCACTTATTTGTCGTATTAACCATATCGTTAAGTGCCTTATATTTTTGTAAACTAAGTACTGTAGAATTAAATACTCAAATATAACTCCAGTATCACAATACTGGAGTTATATGTACTTATAACAGGCAATATCGAATTTAAAGCGTAGTATTAGCTGTATTTTCTAGTATAAGAAAATAGCAATCTAGAGCCAAGCTTAATTTATAATTTTATTTTTTATTATTATGATGCATTACGTTATGTAACAATTTGTAATATGCTTTGAATATTATAAATGTAGTTCGGATTATATTTCTGTTATATTTTTTATACTTTAAGTGAAAATATTAATATTTTTATATATAGACTTAATGTCGAATAATATTAAGAATCTTCAATTGACTGATTAAAACCTATTTTCTCTATAACAAAAATGAACGATATATTATAATGACATTTTTATTTTAACAAACAAATTTTTATTTCAACCTTTTAAGGTACAATGTTAGGAGGGTAACAGATAATTTCAACAGGCGAAAATTAAACGCAAAAAACAATAATACATTGAAAATATATTCAATACAGACATCTGACATAATATTAATAGATTAAAAACATTAGGCATTACATTACATTAACATCATTAATTTTTTTAACTAAACTAACATTTGCAACAAAAACACATATTTCTAACGATTTCCTAAATTAATTATTTTTGGAATCATTATTGTTAGTTATGGCAAAATACATATTATACATTCATGAACTGCTAACACACAGCGTAATTTTGTAGAAAGGTCTTTTCTATACAACCTTGTTGCTGGCCGAATAATAATGCGCGGGATTGTCGTATAGTTCTGGTTTATATTTATTGAATTAATTATAATCTATAATATGCAAATAAATCAGTTTTAATATTAAGCTGGTAATTCTGAATGTTATTTTATTTCATCTTTAAATATCACCATTTTTAAAGACAACTAAAACGTAGTCGCGGTTATTTAAATTCAAACATTGTTTAAATTTTCTAAAATGCAGTTAACACACGTCGTGATTTATCGACATGAGTCTACAACACAATGTAAATATAGGGAAACGTGACTTTCTACCGAAAGAGCTTTTTGACAACTGGCAACTTTTAAATACATGAACAAAATATTTCATCACTTTAAAACATTTTACATCTATACAATATAATTCAAAAACTATCGTCCTGTCATAAATTCATATAAATCCCACATTCTCAAAACTAGTCGCATAGAAAAATTACTAACAATTTCAGTGAAAATCATTTGAAAACAATAATTGGGTTCAATAGGAAATTCAAGATGTTTTTGGTTGATACGGCACAATCGTTTGCGATCGTTCGAAACAAGTCGCACAATTTTGATAGAGATGGTTCTTGGGTCCGAATCGAGCCCCTCGCTGTTTTGCACTCGAGACAGATAATTTCGTATCCCTTTATGTCCAAATAACGCGAACCGATATTGTAAGACTCCGGTTCGTTCAAAAGTATTCCTTTGAAACGAATTTTGTCGTTCTGTCGCAGCAGTTTCGTGTAATTTGTAAAGAAATGATCGAATATTAGTTTTATTTCCGCGTGACGCTTTAGCAGACCGCCGCTAGTCTCCATGTCGACAGAGACCTCGTAGGTGTATCTGTAAAAAATATCAACTTAAAATTCTTATTCTAGTACCTACTAGAAATTTTTACTTCTAAAAACTATCCAGGAACTGCGTTACAAATAGTTATTTTCAAAACTCAAAGAGTATAGAAAAATTAAGGTACGCCATTTGAACATATTGCGTATTTTCTATCTGTCAATGTTTAAATAACTTTAATAGTCTATACTTACTCATTCATGTTGCTCAAGTGACAGCTTTTACCACTCTGTCTTGCTACAGTCCGCACAAACTCGCATCCACCCAAATCTAAACTGTCACCCCGACTGCATAAGGTCGAAAATTCTTCACCATAATAACATTTGAAATATTCTCTCATAAAACTCGGCAGCCAGGAGGCGAAATCATTCCACTTATTTTTAACATTTCTAACGCGAACCTCTTTAATGTAACCCTCCCAGTTAATTTTAGAACCATCGAGAATCGAACATTTTATTTGAGTGGACGCCATGTTGTTGTCTATCCAAGATGGCGCATGACACTGGTTATAATAATCTTCCCAATTTACAAAATGGGTGTTCTCCTCGTATTCCGTCATAAATTCACTCTTCAAGAGGTTTTTCAGGCTTGTTTTGTCTTCACTTATTAGTTCTAACAAGCCTGAGGGTACGCCATCATCTTGAATCCCAACCAGGAGTTGGTTACTGAAGTATATAAGTGTAACCAAGCCCACTGTAAGCTGTAAGAAAATAAAAACCATTGTTCAGATTCCTATTCTCTAGATTCAAGACGCAAGTCCAATTAAATTGTTATTTTATGATTATTATTGGGGGAATGGGTGAAATGGTCAGCGGATAGCCTGAACACCCGTCCTGCCAAGGGTTCCCCGATAGAAAATAATAATAATATGATTATTATTTGTTTTACTTATAAGCAAAATATCATGAAAAAAATTGATCTTTTTTGAGAACTATTTACCTGAAACGGTGTGACGAATTTCTTAGTAGCTTCAGTTTTAGCTAAAAGGCATGTCACTCCCAACGTAATTGTTAGTCCCACCAACACGGTCGCAGTGTAAACCAGCCTAGGCAACGTTATATATTGTAGGAACGCAAATATGGGCAAAGTAACCGTGACAACTCCAATAAGGGGGAGGAACAGGAACGAGCACACAAGAGCCAAAGTTCCACGTATTAACCCATAAGTAGTACACCCGTGGGAACAAGTTATAAACATTTGTAGCCAACTCAACGTAACGCAATGTGGTAGGGTGTACTTAAACAATCCTTGCCAATTACTTCTCCTTGCCATAACCACTAAAATAATTGGAATCAGCAAGGAAAAAAACATCCGCGCGTTCAGGCAAAACTCAATGCTATTGCCCAAGATATAAGACGGATAGTTCGATATGTGGAAATCGAGAAACCGCCAACCTTGATGCACCACTGTATCCTTCTCATACGGATATTTAGCCAGAACATTGATTCCAAAGGATATTAACGCTAAAATATCAGGATATTGTTGGCCATTAGTGCCAAACGAGAAAAGCGTCAAAAACATGAGGCAGAAGGAAAGAACGCAAAATTCAGAGAACGGCACCCATTGCGTTGCTATAAACGGATAGAGGAACAAATTAACGAACAGGGCTAAAAAGAACTGTAAGAACGGCCTCAAGTTATTTCTGACAAACAAATTCTCGGACTCATCCGGTTGCAAGTTACCATCGCTATACCTTAGGAAGAGACCGGACCATTTTCGAAAATCGATAAACTGCCGTTTAGCCAGCAACATTTTGAAAGTGCAAATAACCATTGCGATAATACTAATATAATAAATAATTAACGGTACCAAGTGGTATAGGCTGTCTGTACTGACGGAGAGATATCCTATTAAAAGGAAGGATAGCTCCAAATTTGATAATCTGAAGGAGAACAAGCCGAAGTAATAGAGGAGTTTCAGGTATAACACTTGTATGAAGACTATTGGGTGTAGGAAGGCTTGTTGGAGAATGGGAATGTGGTCCAAAGCTTTAATACTGGGGTCAGTTAGGGTGAGATCGCGGCTGACGAGGGGTAACTCGCCCTGACAGTAGTCGACGGCGGCAGAGACTAGATTGTCAACTGTCAAATTTCGTATTTCTTCATTTTGACACCTTTCTGGGACATCTGAAACAGAAAATGTGTAAAACAAAGTTTAATATATATACACACTTACAAAAATTGTCTTATCTATGTGTTGATACAGTATAGGATCTTTAAGTACAAGGAATGTACCTTCTTCAACAATTTCCGCCGTCCGTATCGTCCCATTTCCCACATGATCACCATGCTGCAATGACTCTAAGGCTTGACCATCGTCCAGCGCAGGTGCATCCTCTTAAGAGAAATATTACAGAGCAATTAGTAATGTACAACTTTAAAAAAACTAAATAAAAGACCCGACGACAGACAATATGTTCTTTTGATCTTGAAAAAGATATACATATATAAAAACCTCACCTCGAGATTCATTCAAGGCTTCATCTTCTTCATCCTTTTTGAGGGTAGTTGTACAAATCTCACGGATACGTCTCTCTAATTGCGCCGTTGTTATGTACTGTTCACCATTTGATAGACTAGAATTATTTTTAAAAATGCATTTTTTTTTTTTCCAAATTATAGTAGACACACATTCTATATAGAATAAAAAGATAAAACATACCTAGCAAAGAGATCTCTAGCGGCTTTCCTGGCTACAGTTTCCTGTCGGCTTGCAGCAAGACAGGATTTTGCGCGAACTATAGGAGCACTGTCCTCATCTATAACACCACTTCGAATACACCTGACACACAGAAAAACACGAATTTTAATATCCTTGGATCTTAAACATAGAAACTTTCGTGAGAACAGCTCATTAAGCTTTATTCCTTAGCCACTTACTAAAAGTAGTTTTGGCTAAAAATAATATCATTCTTACATGAAATTGTGTAGCTCTATCTGAACCCTATTCCACTTTCTTTGCCAAGCCAAAAAGTCACGAATATTTCCATTCATTTTAAAACTTTTAGAAATGCACCACAAAAGACAACACAATGAGCCTCAGAATACAAATGTTGTTATTATGTTTACTGTTTACGTAGAATGGGTATCATGTTTAACAAACAATACCTATTACCTCATATCAATCCATGCATTTCAGTGGAATTGTTGAATTATTTAATCTATAATTTGTTGCCAAATAATTTGTGTGTCTACAGACAGTTTTGACATCAATGTCAGTAAAAAAATATAAACTATAAAAAATTATTACGCTAAAAATACTATAATAGTAATAAGGTTGTATACATTTCTGGTTTCATACCTTCGAAGCATCTTTCTAGCTTCTGGGTGTGCTTGTTCAGTGGCGCAAATAAGCCATTCTAGAGCTTGTTTGAAGTTTGATATTTTATCTGCCTCCAACTCTGTAAAATATCAGAAAAAGAAAATATATGTATGGTCCATCTTTTTATTTAAGTAAATTTACACAGCATTTTAAAACAAATATAAATTTAGGCAGTTAGGGTTTTATAGCCTGTATTAAAAACTTATACAATGATAAATAAACAAAGCTGATATTGCCATCTAAAGTATTGCAATACATCTAGGAAATTACATACAAATATTAGGTTTTAATTTGGTTTTATAGACTTCAAAGTAAACGATATAATGGTGTAATATAATAATAGTAAGCGTTACCTCCACTAGCGTTTCAAAAATAATAATATGTCTCACTGGAAATAGAACGTAGATAGATGTTGTAGTAACTTAATGATCTTAAAATTTGACAAATCAAAATCAAATGAGCATTATGTGCTAAATTACTATTTCATTTAAAATGACATAAAATACTTCATAATTAAATTTTTTTCTAATAAAAAACTTGTAAATACAGTGTCTTATTATACTTTAAATAATTTGGAAATACTTAGGGAGTGTATTATTTAATTGGTTACCCATAAAGTCAAATAAAATGTCACAATTATTAGACAGCTAATGCTATTGACAAATGTATCAATCGATACATTCCCTTATTTACAAACCTGTCTTCGAAGTATTGTTATGGTTTTTATAACAAAAATCGTAAAGGAAATACTGTTCTATAAATTCAAATAGAAAAGCTTGGTGCAATAAGTAATCTTCTGAAACATATGCTGTGAATTACTAAAATGTTAACACCCAGCTTCAAAATATCGCAAGATGAGAACCACGTGTTCATAACTGTGCACGCACCGTACACAAACGTTGGAGACACTGAAATAGATGTCGACGGTGAGAATTTTCTATTTGTGTCCAGCCCATACTTTCTCCGTTTATGCCTACCTGGTAAGATCGTGGAGAATGAAAAATCTAAAGGCTCCTACGTCTGTGATTCTGGGGACTTCAATCTTATTTTCGATAAAGAAACACCAGGAGAAAACTTCGAAAACTTAGACATGATTACAAGCCTTTTGGCCCCCCGCGATATTCCTAATATAAACCCAAATTTAGTTGAAATGCTAGAAGAAGATGGTATAACAATTGAAAATGAAGATTCTGTTAACAAAATTAATACAAATACATATGCTTTTGGATTTGCATGCAAAGTTTCAACCGAATTTAGTGATATTGGCAGGGAATTTCCACAAATATTTGAATTGAAGGTACCCGAACAAATTCCTTTGGAAGAACGTCATGAAATGAGAATAAAATATGAAAACCGTAAATTCTCTTCTGATCATTATTTAGCTGATTTCTATGATGATGAACTTATTGATCCTTATCTAACAGCTACAATGTCATGGGATGCTTGTGATTTCAATAAAGATGCAGATTTTACTGATGATGAAGTAAGCCTCTTGAAAGAATTACCCAATAAGCATTACATTCTAACTAAGAAAGAGCACAAGCAAATATTCTTAGGTCTTATCGATATTCTGTATGGCTTCTGTTATGATAGACGGTCAACATTGAATGAATGTACTGTAGAATCCAGTTGGACTATAAATAAATTATCCTCCACTTTATCCTGGTTTTGTGTCTTTAATGACATGAAAGAAGTATTGATAGCTTGCTATAGAAGAGCATTAACCTATCCTATATTCAGGAATTTTGAATTATGTGAAAAAGTAAAGAAAGATTTAGTCTCATTGTTAAGAAAGGGTAAAAAAGTAATAATAAAATCGATGATTAACATACATAGAATGTTCAATACCAGTAATGATGCAAGGTACATCTTGAATCAGTTATATATAAGTGATTACTTAATATTCTTGCAAAAATGTAGATCTGAAGAGTTCACAGAATTGTGTAATAACCTAGCAAATATTGAGATAACTAAAGCCGATTTATCTTTGGATTTGGAGGAATTAGAGGCAGCTGCTGATATGGTTTGTGAAGAGGAAACACAGATTGTGGAAAATGAGGTGGCTCTCAAAATGGCATCTATGTCTCTTCTGCCTAATGCAAAAACAAACATAGTGTTCGACTACACTGACAGTTCGTCATCAAGTAGTGACTCATCAGATTCATCCGATTTGGATTCTGATGATGATCCTTCATGACAGATTTAGAATGTTAAAAAACATAAGACTGATTCGTAAAGTTATTAAATTTTCTGTATTATTAATGATTAGTAAACATTTTATTCGTAATTACATCGTCATAAGGTACTTCATATTCTAAAGTAAAAAATTATAACTCTCCATACATTCTTGAATATATAGCTGTTTATTTTAATTTAGAAAATTAACGTATGTAATGTTATAGGTAGTAAAACTTGTTGGTTTAAGTGATTAAATAAATATACAGCACATATTTTAAAACTTTTATTTTTTAAATATAAGATATCTATTATGGTAGGTTATTATACATAAAGAACATACTTAAAGCTATTTTAAATTCTATAACATTCTAGTCTTATGGTTGTTATGATATTGAAAATCATTGGAATAGGTACATTTTAGTTATTTCCTTATTTATCAAAATATAATCTGATGAAACAGGACTATTTAAAATAAACTGTTCATATAACCAAAACACTGCTTGCATGTGTTAGGGACTCCAATATATATTCAATAAAGGAACTGTATAAGTTATATACTATATAAAGCTTTTTAAATAAAACTTAATTTAAGAAAATGTACGTTTTTAGACAAATTAAAATGCAACAAGTATATGTCAATGCTGTTAAGATGTGTCATTGTTAGTCAGCCAGTGTTTTTCTTTTGGTTGGCTACCGTAAATTGCTTTTTGTGACCAGGTCGTCTTTTTAAGTTCTTAAAAGTGTTGTACAAATAAATAACTTAAATTTAACTTCCTACTTAACAAATATGCTTAAAGAACTATATTAAATATTCCTATCGCGATTAACATAATAAAGGAACTTTTTACAACTAGCGAGCCGTCACTTGCGTAAGGATCCGGATCGTATGACGCATCAATCACACGAGATCTTATTATTTCCTTGTAGACTAAAGCTGAGTGTTTGGCTTTTCTCTTCTTTTGTGGATCGTTCTCGTCTACTTCGTATATACCGAAGCGCACACTGAAACGTGACAAAATTGTTATTAAAATAGATTATGTTACCCTCGCCACTCCACAGTCGGTTTTTCATAAAGCAAACTTTGATGCCTTGTCGTAATTTAATCGCTTGCGCATCGGTGCTTGATGGTAGATGAATTTTGAGCAGCCTGTTTACGTTTAGAAATACTATTTAAATACATCAATGTTACCGTGGCTTTTTACTCGCACTGTTTGTAGTTTTCGCGTGTGCACACCCTTAAATAAAGTACTTTTAAAAGTTATTACTTTGGCATTAGGGACACCCTATATTTTTAGTCTACCCTTGACCACGGCTGCAAAGCCTCCGAAATGTCGGGCCATAGCAAAAATAATTTGTTAACACGTTAAAACCGTTAAAAGTGGTTTATTTGAATTTCACTGACATCCGATGTCAGTTAATTAATAAATTTTCTTTCATTGAAATCGGATTTATTAGACGAGTTGATGGGAACAGTTATTAATATTTTTTAAAATAAAGACATGCGCTTTCTCTTAATGTTCTTACATAGAGAACAGAATACATTTAACGTATTAGGCAAAAGCCGTTTGCGTACGCAATGCAAAAAAGGTTTGATGTGTTAAAAAACTTACCTGTATCCAAAGGACCATTCAAAATTATCGATAAGACTCCAGGCACAGTAGCCCTTAATGTTAACGCCATCATCAATGGCGTCTAGGATTCCATTCAAATACTCCCTGTAGTAATGGGATCGACCTGTGTCGTTCCTACCACTTGCCGTAGAGTAACCATTCTCCGTGATATACACGATTGGATTGTTGTACGTATTCTTGATGTACACTAGGAGCTTGTGTAATCCTTCACCGTAGGTCTGAAACATAAAAAAAATACAATTTACATGCGCATAGCTTAAATGGCGAAAATTGTTTAGGCACTTAGTAACTACAGCCTGACCCCGTTAGATGACTTGGTTTGGTTAATTCTGACATGTCATCGAAACATATTGTACTTGCACACGTGTGTGGCTCTGTAGCACGACCGCACACACATATAAATAGCATGTATAAATACCCATGTTATTGGTTAATAAATTACTACAATTATTACAATCAGAACACGCAACGTGTAGTTTCCTTCGCTACACATCGATATTTTTAGCAGTACTTGAAGTAAAAAATCAATTAGTAATTATTGACCTGCTCAATACAATCAAGATACAAGACAATAAATACTCTCTTATAGAGCGTGTAGTAACTTCTGCGCTTGAAACCAGGTAGGTATGCTCTTTGTCTCAGCAAACAAACATGTTTCGCCAACTTAGAAAATTATATTTGCACAACGAGACAACAAAAAAAATTCGTTACACAGTACAGTCTTAGTTAATACGTGAATAGTTATTAGGAACGAAATCTTCAAGCACTTACTGCAACCCAACCGTAGGGCGACACGGGCCAAGATGGGTCCTTGTATGTCCCTACTTGTGCATCATCTAACGCTGATGGAACGCTGTGCATGTTGGTAACTGACTGGTTCCTGTACACATAGCTGCTCGAATAGTGATTGATTCCCAAAAAGTCCGACGTGCCTTTTATCGTGTCGATTTCTTCTTGAGAAAAAGTTTTCAGTCGAGACTCGTTTAAGCCCTGTCTTGTACTCGCTTCGGATATCAGTTGGATAAATCTTGGGGGATAGTTGCCAGGTGCTGATAAAATTGGATCTGCGTACTGTCCCAACTGAAATTAGGGCATTGGGGTGATATCGGTGGAATTTATAACTGTCTCGCGCCATTTATAAAGAAAAATAGACCGCAAATGATAAGAGGAATCATAATTTATAAACAATTTACTATCGGATTAAGCTTAGTTACTGCTTATAAAGGTAGATTGAGCAGCAGATAAGAATAATTGACTTCTTGCCTATTAAATAAGGACTCCGAAATCAAGCCGCTTTAAGAACATAGAGAAACGTAAAGTCGATTCTAGATTAAAGAATAAATACGGGCAGGAATTGAACCGGCACCCACAATGTTCCGTGCTATTGCTCTAATCACTTAAGGTACCGTTTCAAGACACGAAAACCGTGTCGTAAAGTTTTTTCAATCTATCATCGACTTTTAATTTATACAGTGCCATCGTGTGCAACATGTGAAAAACATTAAATAAAATATAAATTTATATGGGCTCGCTGGTCTGGTACCAATATATGGCTAATAAACAACGGGTCGTGGGTTCGATTCCCGCCGGGTCCAACATGTTTCTAATTTATACATCTTCTGAAATATGTTGGAATTCGTCTGGAAATCTGATGAAAAAGCCGTAAAGCTTAATCGCTTTTCGGTTTCATTCTGTGGGTTTTCGAATAGCCAAAGCCAAAATAGGTCGACCGCGCATCCTGTTTAGATGCTATCGTCAAGTGAACCCCATGCTTGTCTGTCCTTCTCTATCATTAAAAAAAGATTGAGAAACTCACGTGGAAATCCATGTAGTCTTGGGCCGCTTGTATATCAACTTCGGAATTTGGATTCAGCGGCATTGCTATTTCGGAATCCAGTGTGATTCCGATCTGACCACCCTGCACAGCTCTGAATTCCTTATCGTAAATATGATACGCGTTTGCATGGGCAAGCAATATGTTTCTACCACATTCGTAATATCCTACGCCGGGAGATTTGATTCTTGGCGCATGGTTTCCGGTAGCATAACCAAATTGACAATGGATATGAGGCTCATTAATTGTTATCCAATGCTTAACTCTATCACCGAAGTTTTGGAACAAAACTCTAGAGTAATCACCGAACCACTCCGCTATATCTTTATTCAACCAGCCGCCTTGTTCGTTTAGATTCTGCGGTAAATCCCAGTGGTATATCGTTAGGAATGGCGTGATATCATTGGCTAGCAGTTCATTAATCAAATTGTTGTAATACGCAACTCCTTCTGGATTGACGTAGTCCGGTCGACCGTACGGTAGAATTCTCGTCCAGGCTACGGAAAATCTGTACACCCCTGTGCCTAGCTCTTTCAGAATCTTTACGTCCTCTTTGTAGAGGTGGTACGAATCCGCCGCGACGTCACCATTGCTTCGATCTAAAATGGCATCTGGAGCTGTTCGCACTAGATGATCCCACATGGACCAACCTTTACCTGAAACGAGTTGTGTTGATCTTTCAATATCAGCGTGGTGTGTGTTATAAAATTAATCAGCTGTAGCGCGCACAATATCCGACAGAATAAGGACGAATATACCAAGGAATTAATTTATTCGAAAATTTTATGTATCTTGTCTAGTCTAGTTAGTAGTTAGATTCGAATTATACTACTATATTTAAAAAAAATATAAAACCTTTAGACTTTTAAAGTGCGAAATATATTTTATAACTAAAATATAACTTTAAATACCTACTACTCATGTAAACTACTGACAATAATAATTATTATTAATTAATAAACAATTTTTGGGTAGTTTAAGCAGCGTAATGCAAGAATTTCGTGTCACTATTAGAAATAAAGTATTTGCAATTTTCATTGACTAAGGTCAATATTGTTAAGTTTATGAAACTAATATAAATTAATGGATTGTGTTTTATAGATACACATATCATAGGACTTAAGAAATCATCCACAAATTCGTACTTAAAAAGTGAAAAGTTAGACAATTAAAAGTGTTATGTGCATCACTCGCGTAAAACTCGAGCAATATACTTATAATATGATCCTTACCTCCTTCATTCCATCCACCTTCAATCTGATAAGCCGAAGTGGCCGCACCGAAAAAGAAATCCTCAGGAAAACTTCTTAATCTCGTTTGACTCGGTTGTTCATTGCGCACGATGTATCCAGATGTGGTCACACTGCTGGAAAAATCACTCTTTTTTATCTCTAGTGCTTAAAGAACTTTTAATTAACCGTATGTGTGTTTATTTTTTTTTCTCTCTCCTTTTCTTAAAGTTAAAATCTTACCATATTACAAACAAATAAATTGCCAAGCACATTTCGCCTTAAAGGTACAAAGGTAAGTCAGTACTTCGAAAAATTCACAGCAAATATACTATATTCTTTATCACAGCAATAAGAGTTAATATTAATCTTAATAGGGGATAATAATTTCAACTCATGTATAGGATGAATCTTATAAGAAGCTTGCATTTTTCTCAGTCCGCAGATATACCACTCTATCTATACATATAGATGTGTTGTTTGACTTCCATCACGGCTAATAATAAACGGTTATATAATAAAAATAATAGATATATAAGATTTTTTATTGCACAACACAAAGAAACGTTAGTATAACTATAACTCGACTATACTTTTCTAATTATTTTTTATTTAAGTTTGTTAGTTTGATTGTTTGAACGCGCTAACTTCAGGAAATACTTGTTCGAATTAAAATTGTTTTGTTTTTGTTGGACCATTTATCGAGGAAGGCTTTTTTTAAGCTATAAAACTTCAGGCTACGAACAAAAGGAGTGAAGAAATATAGGGAAATGTGGTGTTTGAGGGTTGCATTCTTGCGTTGCGTGCGTTGCAAAAACGATTCGAGAAATAAATATGATGCTTAAAATAACTATTCTATGCCGACGTAATTGAGGGCACTGATAGTGTCTAATATGTTTCAAATTGAATAGTTACCTCATTTAGTTTTAGTGTAAATTTCGCCATATAAATTTATAATATATCTATTACATAAAAAAACACGATGTATATGGATAACGGCATTATTTTATGCGAATCAGTTATCTGGTAATAATAATATAAATATTTCAGTTGTCAATAGACGGTTTACTATATTAGGTACATATAGTAATTTTATAAGTGACCCATTATTAGATATGGTTTTTAGAAAGAAGTTGCGGAGTTAAGTTATATTCTTAATAACTCATACTTACCGGAGTTAAAAATAACGATACAACCACCTCTATAGCCAAATGGTTAAAGATGTTGCCTGGCATTGTGTTAAGCGCGACAGCTTCTGGGTTGGAATCCCAGGCATTCCTTAGAATGATTGGGTCAGGTAGGGCACAGAAGTTATTAGCCTATAAAAGAACAGATCAAGGAAACAGACCGTCCCAGGCCCCACGGGGGGACATGGGGGTTATTAACTGTTTAATATTGATAACTGAATGAGTAATTTTCGCTTTATCTTGATCGAGATTATTATTATTTTCTATCGGGGACACCTGTAGATCCGGGTGATCAGTCCACGCCATCAGCTGACCATTTCACCCATTTCCTCCTTGCAGAGCTTTTAGGTTATCCAACTCTCACCGTGGTCCCATCGAACCTTCCAGTTTGCTTGCAGAATGTCACTATTTGTTCCATCTATAATTATTTGAATTCAAGATGACATCAAAGAATGTAACTTCGTCTGAACCCATATGCATTTGTCTTAGTCTCGAGTACGCAGAGCATTCAGTGAATGGATGCTTGTTTCCTCACTTTCTCTGCACTCCGGACATAGGGGGTCGCTACTTATTCCTATCATTGTAAGATGTCTGTTTAGACGGCAATGTCCTGTTATGATTTTTACGATGAGTCGGTTTTTTGCTCTCGTTAATCTCATTAGATTTTTGATCTAGATAGTTTATATAATGTTTTATTGTTGAAAATTATATAACCGTATTCTTACTTAATTGATATTTATGGTGTACAACGACATTCTATAATTTACAAAAACAAATAAAATAATAAACGACATAATATCTTTATTATCTCAATAATAATTTCGATGACATTATTTACAATTTTGCATAATATAACCCTCTAATCATAAACTCTATCGATAGGCTGATTGACTAGAGATATGCCTTTTATTGTGGACCACCTGCTATCGACACTAATAATATAAAGAAGAGAGTTGTAGTTTTGTGTATGTTTGCTCTCAATAAACTCTAAAACAACTGACCTTTACCTTTAAATAAAACACTTTAACGGTTAACACGCGATATATTTTAGTTGCACTTGTTATTGTAGTTAAACAGTCTCCCCGTGACCATAGCTGCTACAAAGCATCCAAAACGTCGGGCCGTAGTTGAAAATAATGTTCAAACAATGTAACGTTTCACTGAAATATATCGTCGCCATTTAAACCGTTAGTGTTTAATTCCAATGTTGTGCCGATTGGAATAAAACACTAACTCGCGTTTTTATCCTTCACCTTGAGTAACGTGGGCTATGTTTATTGTTAGAAAATATTAGAGATCCTTACTAAATTTTAGTAACGTAATGTGTGAAGAGACGTAACGTAAGGTGTAAGAAGTACTAAAAACATCTTTCACATTATAGAACAAAATAATCTTCTACGCGATAAAAATGTCGCGACAACATGTGTGTGACTGTAATAGTTATTGCACGATAATAGTTCTTTCATTGTAAAAAAATAATTAAATAAGCCACTTTAAAAGCCTGTTTTTTATGCTTTTCCTTATTATCCTTGTCGAAATAAATTACTCTATCATATCATTGTCTTTCGGGCTGTTCGGCCGATGTGAGCGAGAAGAGGTTCTCGATGTTTTGCCATCACGCGTGGACGGCATCATCAGATGTTAACTTACAATGATATGCTGAACGATGGCCGTGAAAGCCTTACACAATTTAAATTACTTTATATTGCTTCAAAATCGCAATATAACTTTGAATTATCCAATTTATGTTTTGGTTATGTTGTAATTTTTTCATTTATCCAGTAACTGTCATTTCTAAATGACGACATCTATAATGTATATGATAATATATAATAAACCTATGCATACCATGACTAATGTTGATAAGGCAGCTTATAGATTTTTAAATTTGGTTTCATTGCCTTTGCTCTGTTATGAAACGCTGTTGATGCCAGTTTAAACCCTGTCCAAGTCGTAAATTTTTTCAGTCTAAAATCTAGTAGTGCCATAATTTGAAAAATATTAAAGTTTTTAAATATTTCATTATTAATTGATTTAATTCTTAATGCAGTATTAAGATCTTTATATATAAACATGAACACGATAAGACAATTAAATAAAACTAATAAATACATTCTATAATAAATGGAATAAATTATCATCAAAGTGGAATTACTATAACTTTTTTATATTTTTTAATTAAATATATTGCATGAACTTATACATATTTAGTTATATATAACTATACAGGTATTTTTCCGTTGTACAACTCAAAATAATCTTTATTTATGTATGTATGTATTAATCGATACATAGAGTGTGTCATAGTCAGCATTGGAGTCAAATGTACCAGTAGGTATTCATTACTATTTATTTAGAAACTAGTTTATCCTGTTTTCATTGCTTAATTTCGTGCTTGACATAAGAGCCTCATTGCTTGCTAGTTGCTTACCTCAAACTCTTTGTCTAGCCTCCTTAGCTAGTCAAAGAGCTGTCAGTCTATCGGGTAGATCTCTGTGGTTTTTGGGTTCAGTCTTTCCAACAACTTCTACTTACGATTCACTACGGGAATTTTGTCTGAAGTGGATAAGGACTTTTCAGTGGCAAGTAGTTGAGAGTCTTGCTAATATATGAAGTTGTTTGAGAATCGACTAGGGAAACAAATTATGGTTAAATTTTCAATGATAACTGTTTGAAGTTATTATTTATTACATATTATTAAAGAAGCTGATATGATCCACGTAAAAAATGTACTGTGTGTCAATAAAAGTAAGTCGAATGTTAGAACTTTATATTTTCCAAATTATTCTGAAGAAACAATAAAAATAGAATCGCAGATAATACGTTATGAAAAGACAGACGTCTTGTTAGCTACGTGATGAAATTTATTCTATTGTTTTTGTTTTAACACGAATATTTCTTTTACTAACAAATGTTGCTATGCTATATGTGTGAAAATATTATATAAGTAACATAAACGACATTAAAAAATGTATTACATTACTAGGGACACTTTGAAAATATCGATTTTTATATTTGATTTGATTTGTGTCCATCCCGAAACATAGATTAAAAAATAAAACAGAAATATTATAGCTCCTGCTGATTACAGATTAAATCTTATCACAAGGATCCGGGTCATATGATAGATCGATAACTTTACTTCTAATGATCTGCTTATATACAAGCGCGGATTTGCGAGGAGTTCTTTTTCTTTCCGGATCTTCTAAGTCCACTTCGTAGAGCCCAAGTCGGAGACTGAAAATTTTACATTTATTTAACTAACAAACCGAAAAACTGCACTGATTAAAGATTAGAAGCTGTTTGTCCACACTGTCCAAGGAAATGATACTCTGTTCTCTCTGTGTAAAAGGTTTGTTTCAACCGTTAATGTTTCACTGTTTTTTAATTTTGAATATTATTTTACTCTATTTTTCTTTTGGCTGGCTCAAGATAGACAAAAGTACATGTGAGCATGGACACTTTCTTTTGATCTTTGTCAAAGGATATGCTGTTTGCAATAAAACAAGCAATAATACTATTTAATAATAAATAATAATAATAGTTTAAGTTACGGTTATAGCGATTAATTAGACGTTTGTAATGTAACCTTAAAACTAAAATAAAAACTATTTTTATTAATGTTCTACAAGAGGGATTTAACAGCTTAGACAGTCCATGCTGCTTCGGTGGGAGTCGGCAGACTTTATAGATTACCGCTTCTAAATTAATAGCGACACAACAAAACTCCAAATAACGATGTAACATTTAACATTTCAGGCCTCGAACCCGGAACCGCGCGGTCTGCAGACGAATGCACTAACCGCTTGATCAATGGAGGTAGTTAGATATTGACAGGTTACATGCTTATAATAGTCGGTAAGGTTCTAAATATAGTTCGGGATATAGTTGATCAACTGGTATCTAAAATCACGCGTAAGAGCATAGAATAATTAGTGTCCAAAAAACTTCAAAGTCTGGAATATAGGTATTGGGTTGCTGGGTTAACAATCTACTATACACGATTTTTTGGTGAATGTTCAGAGGAATTGCGGCGTCAGGTCCTCGACATGGCGCCGTCATGTTCTGGCAGTTTGTGCTATTTGTTCGTTCCCATCAACTGCAGTGGTAGTAGGAACAAATAAATTTGCGTCATGATCTACTATAAAAACAAGTCAGAGTGGAACGACTTAACAGCTACAGTTTTTCCACCTAACTATAACCTAGAGATGAAATCTATTCATTGCTACCAGGGCCTGCCTATTACTCGTATTACTATTCTGTCAGTCACTTACGTAAATCCTGAATCCCACTCAAACGTGTCCATCAGACTCCAAAAACTGTATCCCCTGACATCAACACCATCAGATATCGCGCTGAGAACAGATTGAAGGTACCCTCTAAGGTAGTCGACTCGAGCATCATCCTTAAGACCAGGTAAGGTGGGAAAGCCGTTTTCGGTTATGAAGATTGTTGGATTGTATGTGTCTTTGATGTACAGGAGCAGTTTGTAAAGGCCTGGTGGGTAGGACTGTAAAATTTTAAGTTTGTCAATAATCTAGAGATGAAAAACGAAACGTGTCGTTAGACTTTACGCCATCTGTGGGCAATGGTACGTGACGCGGATGGAATGATATTCCTACCACCCATCTTATAGCCAGATTTTCCAGATGGTGGGTTTTATATAAACGTAGAGACAAGAAATAAGTATATAGATTTTATTTGCAATTAAATATACTTTTTTGTAGTAATACCTACGTCTAAATTACCTTGATTGACGCACAATCAAATATCCAAAAGTACGAACGTCATTTGTTTTTTGCTAACAGTGATCCAGAAAAGTATTTATAGCTCTACCTTATTGTTTTATATTACCTGATATTACAATTAAACAGAAGACATAACTTACGTAAAGCCAAGAACTCCCCTTTACCCAGGAAGGATCCTTATAAACGCCGATATATAGATCATCTTTATACGAAGGTACTTCAAAGCTCCCGATTAAAGAGTCGTTTCTATACACAATATCACTCGTATAACTATTCAGTGCTAAGAAATCAGCCGTGTGTCGAATATAGTTAACTTGATCATCAGAGAAGGAACGGAGTCGACTTTCTGTGAAGCCTTGCTCAAAACTCTTTTTGGCAATTTTATCGATGAGTCGTTGAGGGTAGTTTCCGCGGTCAGTAAAAATCGGATCCATGTATTGTCCGAACTGAAATTCAAATATAAACATATTCAATAAGCAAACACTTCATACGTTTTGACCAACAATTACATTTTTGAATGTTAATTTAATAAATTTTGTTAATTTTAAGGGATATGTTTTTTTTTAATTCGGATAAAAAATTTAAAGATTTTTTTTTTCAGATATTTTTTCTTATCTTCTATGTTCTAAACTCAAAAAAAGCTTTCTTTAATCTTTGAAGTAAAATTCCGTTCTCTACATTTGTGTCAGTGCCACATTTGATCTTCTTTACTCAAGTCAACTAAAAATATGTTATGGTTTTTACGGGGACAAGAATACGAGAATCTCTTACTTACTTACCCACAGTATTCTCTGCCGTGGATAAGTAAGTACTAAATACTAATGCGGAAACCTCAGATTGCATTGAAATATTGATGATGGCAGGATAATTTGGTCATAAACATCTGACTTCAGACAAAACGAAACAGAACACAGTTATACATACGTTCATAGCGTAGTAATCTAGAACCGCTTCACTCGTGTCGTGAGTATCATCGCTGGGTATTGCAAAATCTGCGCTCAAAGAAATGCCAATTTGACCTCCTTGCGAACTAAACTCTTCCTTGTAGATATGGTAGACTTTTGCATGGGTCAGTAAAATATTCCTGCCGCATTCATAAAACCCAGTGGCTGGTGACTTCAGACCTGGCGCGTGGTTGCCGATGGCGTATCCATGTTCGCAGTGTATGTGCGGTTCGTTTATCGTTATCCAGAACTTTACTCTGTCTCCGAATTGTTTGAAGAGTACCCTCGCGTAATTCCCGAACCATTCAACTATGTCTTCTGTCAGCCATCCACCTCTTTCGCTTAGATTTTGGGGCAGGTCCCAGTGATACATCGTGATAAAAGGTGTTATGCCTAAAATTTCCACAACTTTAAGTTATATATTAAAAGAAATTTATAAGTGTGGTACTAACAGCTTCCATGCTTTTTCTATACCAATTCCATATTCCAACCTGTGTACTTGCTTCCATACTTTGCTAACACACACTGTGTTAGTAAATATTGTATTAAGATATCAATAATTTATTAACGTTTGTGTCTGAGTACTTGTATTATAATTAAAAAAAAGAAGGTAATTTCGATGTCTCACTTATTTATCTCTGAAAATCATGTGAAATTATATGCCAGAAGAATTATACCGTTTGCCAGCAATTCATTAATCAAATTATTGTAGTATTCCACTCCCTCTGCGTTGATCCAGTCGGAGTGGCCATACGGCAGTATGCGAGTCCAGGATATGGAAAATCTGTAAGACTGTACTCCAAGCTCCTTCAAGATTTCTACGTCACGTTTGTATAGATGAAAGGAGTTCACGGCGACATCTCCATTTGCACCGTCCAATATGTTTTCAGGTTTCGTTCGTACTAAATAATCCCACATGTGGACACCTTTTCCTGCAAGAAATAACTATGTATGTAGTTATGGTTTCAGGATTTAAAAAATTCATGACATACGGGGAACTCGAACCCACAAATTAAGCATTGAGTGCTATTGATCTAACAATTGCAGCCCGCCCACTCTTTGATTGACCAACGGCGAGGTTCGGTGGGTACAGCCAGGTAAATTTGTTTCGAAGTATATCATTGTTTTTCGGGCTGTTCGGCCGATAAGAGAAGATGTTCTCAACGTTTCGCCATGACGAGCGGATGCCATCATGAGACGTTGGCTCGACGATTGCTCGAAGATATCTGTATGGGCCGTCGCAGCCTCAGACTATATACCCGCTGACTGGCGCGGATTGGCACGTGGTCGTGCGATTACTTGAAGACTGCCCGAAAAACAATGGTATGCTGAACGATGGCCGTGAAAACCTTGCACAATTTATTGTTTCGAAGTAGTTGACCAACTGTATAGAAAACTAGGTACGGGTTGAAGATAATACGTTTATAACACTGTTTATGTACTTTAGTTTAAATTATTAGAGTGACATCGTTTGTATGAATTGATAGACTAAGCACATAAGCTGTAAGATAAATAGGCATTACGTCTTATCCCTAACCTATGATAATATCTGGAACTGAGATAAGTCTCAGATAATACAAGAGATCAAGATTCAACTCGTGGTTTAAGTAAGCTGTAGGTACGACCGATTAAAAAGGTCGTAATGTCTAGTTTAGTATCGTAAACTAGACAATACGACCTTAGTTCATAATATTATATTTTATTAGTTCAAAACGCAGTTAATTAATCCTAGTAGGTTTGTAATTTATAGTTAGGTATGCCAAATAGTAAACACACGGGCAAAACCTTTTCATTTGATGCTGTTTTTTTTTATTTTAGAAACTATTTTATATTACAATAAGTTATTTATAGAACACGTGATCATTTTATTTGGAAAATATTATGGGGCCACAGCGCCTCCATCCATTTGTCCTCCAAACCTCTAAATTCGAATTATCAAAACAAAATATTGCACAAAACAATTCGAATTATCAAAACAAAACTGCTGCTGCAAAGTGTAATGTCGGTAGATTAGTAGTTAGTTCTTATTTAGTGTTAGTTTGTAGGTAGCTACAACTTGTATGTAATAAACTGTTGTTCTATGGATCCCGCGTTTAATTGACGTATCATTGGCGACGAGATCGGGAATTTCCATAATTTTGTGTTGTTGCGAGTTTAGTATTTCAAGATGTCCATCGGTAAAATTGAACCATTTATCATAAATTCTAAGCAATGGCCGGCGTATATTCGACGCGTAAATCAGTTTATAAAGTTAAATGGTGTCAAGGACGAACTAAAAGTGCCCATGTTAATAACGGTGGTTGGCGAAGAAACGTATTCGTTGATGTGTGATCTCTGTGCACCACGATTTCCTGAAAATACGACGTACGAGGAGCTCGTAAGTCTAGTGGCACAACATCTAGAACCACAACGCTCAGAAATCGCCGAGCGCCATGTTTTTAGACTAAGGCGGCAACACAAGGGCGAAACGTTGACGCAATATTTACAATCTCTGAAACATCTCGCAGCAAATTGTAATTTTGGAAAATGCAAATCTTGCAATACATTGGAGGAAAACTTAAGGGATCAATTTGTATCTGGTTTAGCCAATGACGCAATGCGTGCAAGGATTTTTGCTGAAAAGAAAATCACCTATAAAGAGGCGGTGGAACTAGCGCTCGCATTGGAAGCCGCTGAAAAGCATGCGGAGGTGAGCGGGGCCACCGGGCCTTCGGCGGGGACATCCGGGACGACGGGCGAGGCAAGTGAGGGCTTGCACTACGCGCGACGCGGCGGAGGTCGCGCGGAGCGACAGCGCGCGCAATCCACGGGCGCCCGGGGCGCGTGGGACTCGGCGCGCAGGCAGGACGGCGGCGAACCGGCTTTAGGCCGTGCGCGCCCGTGCTGGCGCTGCGGAAAGGCGCATGCTCCAGATAAGTGTAGGTTCAAGCACTACAATTGTGATCAGTGTGGCCAGCGGGGCCACTTAAAAGTGATGTGTAAGTGCAGTGGCGGTCGGCATAATTTCGTGTTCGAAGAGTCGGACGAGGGTTTATTTAATCTACAAGTGTCGTCTAAAGGTAACCAACCTTATTTTGTTAATGTGACAGTAGATAAATATGTTATTCGTTGTGAAGTCGATACGGGCAGCCGTATATCGGCGATAAATGAGGATACCTATAGAGTAATGTTTTTACATAAGTCAGTTGTATCTGATAATTTAATGTTGCGTTCCTACTCGGGATCTCGAATTGAGTCTCTAGGATATATTGAAGTAGACGTACAGTTAGGGGGTACGAAAGTTAAGTCATTGCCTTTATATATTATAAAAGGAGGTGCCCGTCCTTTGCTAGGGCGTGACTGGATGCGCGCATTAAATATTTCTCCTAAATTAAAACGAGACTTTTATCCGCTACCTCGTATATATGAGTTATTCGCTTGCTTAAAGGGAGGTATTCAATATACTAAAATCGATTTATCTCATGCATACGAACAATGTTTGCTATCTGAGGATTCTCAAGCCGTTACCGCGATAACCACCCACATAGGGACGTTCGCGTACCGTCGCACACCATACGGTTTGTCTTGTGTACCGGAGAAATTTCAAAAGTTGATGGAGGAAACGTTGCGCGGTGTCGATGGATGCGTTGTTTTCTTAGATGACATCTGCGTCACGGGTTCTAGTAAAACGGAACACATTCGTAACGTCAGAGCGGTACTCGAACGGTTGCGCGGTATGGGACTCACCGTTAAACTTAATAAATGTAAATTTTTGCAAGATAGTGTTAAGTACTTAGGTTTTATTATTAATAAGGACGGATTGCAACCGGACCCGGATAAGTTGAGTGCTATTTCGAATGCACCGACACCAACGAATGTGTCTCAGCTTAAAAGTTTTTTAGGTATGTTAAACTATTATGGAAGATTTATTGTCAATTTAAGCTCTTTGTTACACCCGTTACACAATGTGTTAAAAAAAAATGTTTCATGGAAATGGGACGCTAGTTGTAGGGATGCCTTTGTAAATGCGAAGCGATCTCTCTTAAGCGAGCGGGTGTTAGCACATTACGAAGAGGGACGCGACTTGGTACTGTCAGTAGACAGCAGCGCATACGGGTTGGGCGCCGTGCTGGCGCATCGCTACCCGGGAGGCGCCGAGCGGCCCGTGAGCTGTGTGTCACGCACGCTTAACGTTGCCGAACGCAACTACAGCCAGCTCGATAAGGAAGCGCTCGCCATTATTTACGGGGTCACTAAACATCATCAATATCTTTTTGGGAGGCGTTTCATTTTACGTACTGATCACCAGCCGTTGGCTTATATTTTCGGGAGCAAAGGTGGTATACCGCAAACGGCGGCGAGCCGACTGCAGAGATGGGCGGCTCGATTGGCCGCTTACGATTATAAAATTGAATTTGTACGTTCGGCGGACAACGGTCCGGCCGATGCGTTGTCGCGATTACCGCTCCCTTGCGAGGGTCGCTTCGAAATATGTTTAGACTATTTGAATTTAATAGCGGATTCATTACCGATATCTTATAAGGATATAGCCAAAGAGACCGAACGAGATAAGCTGTTGAGCAAAATTAAAAATTATGTTGTATTCGGTTGGCCGTGTGGCCCGAGTTGCGATGAGGAAAAATCATACTTTTCTAGAAAACACGATTTAAGTGTTGAACACGGGTGTGTTGTGTATAAATATAGGATCGTCGTCCCTCAGAGTTTGCAAAAACGCGTTTTAACTGAGATTCATGAAGGTCATCTCGGGATGAACAAAATGAAAACAATATCTCGGGGTTACGTGTACTGGGCGAGCCTCGACCGCGACATCGAAAATACGTGTCTGGAGTGCGGTGCGTGCCGTTCTGTCCTGGACGCGCCACCCCGAGCGCAGCTGCACCCGTGGGAGTTTCCCTTACACCCGTGGCAGCGACTTCATGCCGATTTTGCAGATTGTGAGGGCAAGCGATATTTGATCGTTGTAGACGCGCATTCGAAGTGGATCGAAGTCGAAATAATGAATAATACCAATGCTTCGTCTACTATTAAGGTTTTAAGAGGTATTTTTGCAAGATTCGGGTTACCATCGCAACTCGTGACCGATAACGGTCCACCATTTTCGTCGTATGAATTTAAGATTTTTTGTGATAATAATTGTATAAGACACACGACATCGGCTCCCTATCGACCTCAAGGAAACGGGGCAGCGGAAAATGCCGTAAAAACGGTTAAGAAAGCTATTAAAAGGGCTGTATTTGAAAACGAGGATGTGAACACGGCACTCACAAAATTTTTATTTAAATATAGGAATTGCGAACACGCCACCACAGGCGTCTCGCCAGCTATGTCTTTGCAAGGGCGGCGTTTGCGGAGTCGTTTGGACGCTCTGCGACCAGACCTCGCCGCAATCGTGCGCGAGCGGCAGGAGAAGCAGATGGCGAGGGGCCCAATAGGTTCACAAGGTAACGGGATCATTTGGCGAAGACATGCCGATCAATTAATAGCTTCAAAAAAGAGATTTTCTTTATCGCGTTTAAGTTTACCGCCAGGTAAAGATTCCGATCTTGAGGTCGAAGAGGGTCGCGTGGCTGAGACGGGGGAGGATGTAGTCAGTGGGGATGAGCCTATTTCGTTAACATCTGATCAGTCCCCACCAACCGTGATCGAGCCTTCACCGTCGCAGGCGAACGAGGTAAAGTCCCCGGACATGTCCGCTCGAGCACTGCGTGCATTAAAGCGGGCAAACAAAGCCGTATAGTTTAGTATAGTTTAGTTTAGTTTCATAAGCTTGTTGAGGAGAAGTGTAATGTCGGTAGATTAGTAGTTAGTTCTTATTTAGTGTTAGTTTGTAGGTAGCTACAACTTGTATGTAATAAACTGTTGTTCTATGGATCCCGCGTTTAATTGACGTATCACAAAGCATCCGAAACGTCGGGCCGAAGTTAAAAATAATTTTCAAATAAGTTTAACTAATATATCGCGTTTTAAACCGTTAAAGTGTTTTATTTAAATGTGTACTACTCGCGTAAACTATAGACAGTATTTAAAACAAAATATTGTCAAAAAGGAAACATCATTTTTGACAGCGTGGTAATTAATTGATAAATTTTACTTTTAGTAGGTACAGGTACAATCTTAAGATTGTCATTTGAGCTTTTCGGTTTTTCCCAAAACATTCCTGAGGATTTGTCGCTCTCTATCCAATCACTTAACCACTTAGACACCTTCATACGTCTATATTGTGTTCTAAAAATTAATCAAACCTCCTTCATTCCAGCCTCCTTCGATTTGGTATGCAGATGTTGATGCTCCAAACATAAAGTCATTTGGGAATTTGTCGAGTACTGCCTTGTTATCAAATCCAGTTCTAGAGATTTCTTTATTATCCACATAGTATATACTGAAATTAAACTACTCTTCATTACCCAATTTTGCACATGGATATCTTGAAAAAAATAATTGATTTTCCAATAACCAAAATAAAAGTAATTTCAAATTTTAAAAAGTCAAAGTTATATTTAAAAATATACAAGTTTTTTTACCATAAAAATAAAATTGTGAACACTAGCATTTTGAATGTTATTGTGTTACTTTGTGAGCAGTTTTTATATAGGAGCAAAATATCTTTTGATGTGTCTATCATTTTCAATCAAGATAGATCCACATCTAATTTTAGCAGATAAGATACAGATAAATTTGGCATAAATATTGTTCAAATTTGTTATGCATTATGTGAAAATTATATTGCTTTAAGATACAAATTGGTACATTCAAATCGTTTTTAACAAGCCACCTCAGTGTCTAGGCACTTAAAAAAAACAAATTACATAAAAAAAAATTTTATTCAAATAAAGACAACCCTAAATAAAATCTAATATATATATGCTTAAAGTTGATGTGTCATCTAATTTGCCTTCTGAAAGTATTCCTTGCTTTCTTTGGGGTTCGGTTTAATTGTATCAGCATTGCTGTCCGGGTTCCAGTTGGCAGGACAAACTAGAGAAACATAAGAATATTATGCACATCTAATTTGAAGTTTTTAATGGTATAAATCCTCTAAAGTGTACACAATATTTAATTGACAATTATTCAACACTAAACAGTCTTTAAAGGAACACAAAATTATATATACATAAATATTAACTTATACAGGTAAAAACCGGGGACCTTATTTCATAGCGAAGTAATTAGTGTATTAGACATAAGTATCCTACCTTCACCATGTTTGTCAGCAAATTGGAAAGCTTTAACCAATCTCAGAGTTTCTTCCACTGATCTACCAACTGGCAGGTCATTTACAGACATATGCCTTAAAATACCATCTCTGTCAATGATGAAGAGACCTGTTTGGAACAAAAACTAATTCAATAAATGGTAAAAAACATATCTATAATAACTACTCAAAAAAATATTAGTGGTCGCAGTTTATTATTGGTGAGTTTTGAGATTGACCCAAGTTTTGATTGCACAGGGCACAGAAGTCTGAACACTTGTGTACTCATACTATATCTTTGCCCCATTAAGGATACCAGTTCTATAAAATATCCATAAATAGGATATCTTTACCTCTGAGCGCAAATCCACTATCGAGAAGAACATCATAGTCTGTAGAGATTTGTTTCTTGTAGTCAGCCAGAAGAGGGATGTCTATTTTACCTAATCCACCATCCTGGAAATATATTATTCAATGGAAAAACATTATTATCATTAAAACCTGTAGAATTGTGAGGTACGTCAAACAGAAATAAATAATAAATCGTTAATGGTTTAAAACATGAAATGTATTACTTAGTTCCGAAACATAAGACAGTAGTTAAAACTTAAATAAGCTTGTCTTTTAAACTGGTAAAGGTTTTTATTTAAATGTGAACTACTCATGTAAACTACACAGTATCAACTAATATTTAAAATTGGGATTTCAAAAATGAAAATGATTTTTGAGATAATTTTTACTCATAACAAATCCTGTTTACCTTTCTAGGAGTATTAACCCAAGCAAGGTGACTGAATTCAGAATCTGTTGAGACACCAATCACTTGACAGTCTATTCCTGCAAAGTCTTTGGCCCGTTCACTGTACGCTATTAATTCAGTGGGACATACAAAAGTGCTGAAAAAATTCATTTTACATTATAGAACTATATTATTATTTTTTATAATTTATGCTACATTTTGTTTATAGTATAAATTGTACATTTGGTACATACTTACAAATCTAAAGGATAAAATACAAGTACAACATATTTTCCAGAAAAGTCAGCCAATTTCATCTGATTAAATTCTCCATTCACAACAGCTGTAGCACAAAAGTCTGGTGCTGGTTTCTGAACTTTGGGAGTGAATGCGGCACTGGCTGAAATGTAAGAATTGCACAAAAATAAAAAAGTATAATATTAATGGGAGACATGTGGGGCAAAAATGTAGACACACATTAAGGTCTGCTAAACTTTGTTACCCAGCCGACAGTCCCCAAAATATAATGAGAAGTCTAGAAAATTCTTCTACAACCATCTATGTCAAGGGTCAAGGTGTGCTGAATTAATAACATATGTACTAAGTAATTAGTGATTACATTTACATAAGATTATATAATGAACTTACTTGTTGAGAAAGAATTTGTGATAGAAATCGCCGGCCTCAAAACCTATGTAGAATAAACATGGAATTTAATTACGTTTTTGTAAGAGCATAGAATCAATAAAATAGTTAGTAAACTAACCCTCCGGACGCATTGTCTTACTAAGAAAGACATATTTATTAAGTGTTTAAAAAGTTACTAAGTTTAGTGGAGAATATTCTTCGATTTTTCACTTTTAATATGTACTTAACTCACGAGTGACACAAATATTAAAGTGACATTGACAGTTGACAACAATGACAACCTAAGCTTAACGTCAGTATTAGTAACGCTCGTATCATTTTACGCTAAATATATGAGATTTATAATTATAAATTGTAATAATTATTCATACTAGAACATGCTTTAATCTACTGTTTAATATTTAACTTAAAAAAACAATTATTATTTTATAATTCAGTATTATATATTACTTAGAACTTTAATAAATTAATAAATATTATTAATTTAATATTATTAATCTAAACAATTTTTTATATTTTTAGCAACAAATGTTGCAGATAAATTATTTTATACATGACGAGGTTAAATAATAAAACATAATATATCTGCAGATTTTTCTGCAGCACGTTACTAATAATTTCATTAGTAAAATTAACCCTAAGCTGCAAAGGCTGAAACATGTGTTACACAGAAAGTTATTCATATAAAAGCTTTCAAACAGTTTCAGTAAACACAATATCGTAGTCATTTTGCTAATTAACCAACACTCTGATATTTGTAATGCACAAATTTACCACTAAACAAACTCATTACATGAATGTCAGAAAACATACTGATGCACCGTTTCACATCGAAACAACAAGTTTTGATATAAAATAGATATAAAAATGATCACGCTACCGTAAAAATATTTACCTATAGTTATTATTTTAAATTGGCCTAAAGATTTTTTTTGGATTATGAGATGCCTATAAAGAATGCGTAACGTACCTACGTATAAATTGATTTAGAAAAAATAAAAGTTAATTGATTCAAGTATTTAAAATCTTCAATAGCCAATGTCGAATTTAAAGTTTTGGACCTAATAATAATCCTAATAATCTAGAAAAAAGCAATAATGTATTTCAATTTGTTTCGTCAGATACCTGTATAGAATATAAATGAGACCACTCTCGAATTCACTATCAATTTTGCGTTTCGATTACTCCTGTGAATATAAAGTATTTTAGCAAATAATAAAGTACACACATGTGTCCATTTTACGTCTATCCTTGTAGTTTGTACAGCCATCAGCCGTTAAAATGTATGTAATATATATATGTGAGACATAGGCCTTCTTTATGCTTATCTGATGTTAATCAGAAAGTACTCGTACTTTTATTTATTTTATTAATATAATTTAAATTCCGTGTTCAAAACTTCAATAAATAATAACACTTACAGCTTAATTGATTTTAATTTTTTTTTGACGTTCCTCGGTCAGAAGGGTTACTTTACTTATTCTTAATGAGTACTTATTATAATATGATTAATTTTATGTCTATTAATTACTGTCCGTAGTTTACGCGAGTACACGTTAAAAAAAACACGGGAACCCCTGTGACCACGACTGCACAAAGCATCCGAATCGTCGGGTCGTAATTAAAATAAGTTAAACTAGTATATATCGCGTTTTACACCGTTAAAGTGTGTTTTATTCATTATGTCTGCCATTCAAGTTGAACTAAGTTTGTAGACATTTATTTGCTTAGGAAACAATAATCGCTACGTGATAATCTATCGCGTATTCTATAACCTATAACTCTTGTATTGGGAGATTAGTTTCAAATTAAAATATAAATATTAAATTAGTTACAGATTTTGACAAACTAATTATTCTTATTGTATCAGTGTACGGCTAAAATTAAGTAGGAATACCGAAATTCGTCCGAGTCATGTACCATCGCCCACAGATAAAAAAGCCGTGAAGTAATCACTTTTTGGTTTCAGTCTGTGATTTTCAAATATCCAAAGCCAAAAAAGTTGGATAGAGCATTTTGTTTAGATGTACAACGCCGACCATATGTTAATTACCTACCATTCAGTAAACCCCACTTTTTTCGATCATTCTTTATCTTAATTACATTTTAAAACAATCAAAGGTATTAACGTGGTTACGATTTCTGTTGAAAGTATAGAACTTATCGGTTATTGGTTTAGAAAGTTTAATCAAATAACCGTCAAAACTTTACCGCGTCTGACGCTTATCAAATTGTCTGTACTTATCAAAGTACTAATTTCGATTTGGCTGTGGGGTAAAAACATTTAGTATTGAAGTGCTGAAAATAACAAAATTCATTTAATATTTACGATTAACAATTTATGAATCTTTTGCGGGTAAAGGTCTGTCTGTAGTGTACGCGAGTAGTTCACCTTGAAATAAAACACTAAAACGCGAACTATATTAGTTAAACTTGTAAACAAAATCATTTAATTACGGCTCGACGTTTCGGATGCTTTGCAGCAGCCGTGGTCACGGGGGTCACTGGTACGGGTAACAATTTTTTATTTAAACATAACACAACAAACTTGTTATTTAAATGTACTAGTTATTTTATTATAATATCGTTAAGCAACTAAAATACATTAAATTTTTGTAAAATAGACCAAGGTTTACTGTCATCCTATAAGTTTTTAAGATGTCTTAACAAAATGCCCCGGGTTTAATTGTTAAGGCTTAGAATAAAATATACGGCATGCACCCCTGAATTTTCCCCTTAAATAACACATCCTCTAATCATAGGCGGGCCATAATAATTATTCCAACGTTCCAATCTATCCTTTCTGCTGTCGCAATATTTCCGAGGCAGGAAATTATACGGACGAAGACTTTAATTAAGAGCTCGGTTTGAAATTATGTCAGCTCCGACTATTTCATATCGAAGAACGATTTTCTTAATGGAAAACGGTTTTCTCAGCCTAATCCCGCTCAGGCACATTTTCCTCCGATGCTGAAAAATGTTTACCTCATTAAACAGATGAAAATCTATCATATACAGGCTGCGCTTGACTTGAAAAAATATTTTAATAGAATGTGGCTCGATAGGTTCGTTCAGTAAACAGGCGAGTAGGCTTTTACTAAATAACAAAAAACATATTTTTATAACTAAAGACAGTAGAATGAGTGACAATCATTGATAACTGTTGGAAATAATAATATAAATAATGCTTTTCTTAATCTGTTAAGTTTCCCGACATACAAACGACATAGGATCTTAGCAGTGACAAATAAAAAAAAACAGTATTGTAACGCATAATTAATCTCGATATATCCCAGCGATATTAGTTCTGGGTGGCTTTAGTATTCATTACGCAAATCATGATGAGAACAAGTAAGGGTCTATTCAACATTTTTAAATATGCGCTCAGTAAATTACATATTTTTTTTCATTTACAATGTTTTTAGAATTTTTGTTTTGGCTAAGTAATTATCGCGTGAAACACTAATGACATCGCAGTGGAAGTTTGATAATATGCAAATAATGTTTATCCCAAACAAGTTCGAATACGCCATCGCCGCACACGCCTTTATTATGCAGAGCTGCGCTTTAAAATATTTATTCATTTGCACGTCTGTTGTATTTCAATAAGGATTTTGAATAAATCGGTATTTTATATTTAAAATTGTCTATTATAAAAATGCATAAAGGTGTATATGTTCATATTTATACAATATATTTTGAATTACCAAGCTTACTGCTATTGCCTTTTTGGACTCTACAAAGACGTTTATATTTTGTTGTCTGTCGACTTGTATTTATAAGTCAAAGAAATAAATGTGAAGAAAGGGAAAAAATGTCCATTGCTCAGCTTTAAAATTTATTTATTTCGACATGAAATATTAGAATAGTAACTTATGAAGAGTGAGTCCAAGTGGTTAGTATATGAAAATTACATGTGTATTCATATGCATGACTTAAATATACTGACTGAAATAAATATTCACTTTTACGGACAGGTTACTATAACATATTTTTTACATTAGTGTTTTATAGAATAATACGTGTATGTGTATTATACATGTATATTTCATATAAATATACAGTAAAGTAACGTTTGAGCGAGTCTGCGTCTGAGTGACCGAGTGAATACTAGTAATATTACTTTTTAACTTCGGCCGAATGGTCCATATTTCATCTTAACTGGAAAAGTTGTCGGACTCACAGCTGTCCTTTGATAAAATTGATCAGGGGTAAAAGATTGATTGGTGAAATAACGTAAAAAATACTTGCATGTGGTTTATAAACAAGAATGCTGCAACACGTTCCCAATTTTGAATTGTTTTTTTTTAACTTAGTTATCGTTCTGTATGTATTATCTCGACTTAAGGTTTATTTGTAGCTGTATATATAAAAGAAAACTTTAATATTTTTCGCATGTCATTGCATTGATGACCTCATATAAATTAAACTAATTTACGACAAGGGCGGGACTTAAAGCGGAATGCACACCGTTCCGTTTAATTGCCTTAACCCAAATACCTAAGTGTTAAGGTTGAAATTTCTTTCCACGAGAAGTGTATCAATAGGTTAAAAAAATCGACGATGGCATCTAGGCACTGTAGTTTCATTGGTTAGAGCAACAGCACGTAATGCTATGGATGCTTGTGTTGTCTCCGAATAAATGTCTCCTATTCTATTCAAGTACTGCGTATTTGTTTTCTTAATAGATTTTTAATTAATATAGAACAGAATATAATTTTAAAGTAGTACACTAAATAGTGATGCAGTTATTTTAAATCCAAATGATTTGATCCGCTCAGGTTATTATTAATGTAGAGTAATTGGAATCAAACCGGATAATGAATAAGTAATTAATGAAGCCTGAAAATGTTCAATTCTGTTCAAATAATTAAACACGTTTCTGAATACAACAATCTGTGTTCAGTATTATTTAATTATATAATTTATTCGGTTTGAATCCATTATTTCACTCAAATGTTATTGAATATCAATGGACATTTTAATTTTGGCATCCCTTATATTCTTGAAACAGCGAGGAAGAAAGTTTGTTTGATAAAAGTGTAATTATTGCTTAGCAATGCATTATTAAAAATCAAACATCGAATTATAAATTAACACGACCCTACGAGCAGGGTACGAAGGTTGCAAATGCTCTGCGCAAGAGTTCAA